CGACGAGGGAGGCGGGAAGACGACGACGACAACGACGACGACGACGACGGCGACGAAATAGGAGGGACGACGACGAAACGCCGACGACGGACGACGACGACGACGAGGGAGGAGGAGGAGGAGGAGGAGGAGGAAGGACGACCACGGCGACAACGACGACGGAAACGACCACGACGCCAAACAGGACGACGACGAGGAGGAAGGACGGCGACGCCGACGACGACAACGACGAGGGAGGCGGGAAGACGACGACGACAACGACGACGACGACGACGGCGACGAAATAGGAGGGACGACGACGAGACGCCGACGACGGACGACGACGACGAGGGAGGAGGAGGAGGAGGAGGAAGGACGACCACGGCGACAACGACGACAGAAACGACCACGACGCCAAACAGGACGACGACGACGAACACGAGGAAAGACAGAGGACGACGTAGGCGACGACGACGACGACGCGGGAGGAGGGAGGACGACGACGACGACGACGACGGCGCAAGAGCGCGCGCGCACGCTTTTGTTGAAAACCCGTGTTGCGAAACCTTTGGGTCTTGGATGCTTTTTGGAGACACGATTTTGAGATCCTTCCGAAACCGATGGATTTAGAAGGTTTTCGGCCTACGCGCGCGACGACGCGCGCGTCTGCACTTCGTTTTATTCTGTTGCAGAGGATTCTCGCGGCGGCACACGCGCAAGGGCGTTCGACAGATTTCGACATGCGCGCGCGAAGCCCGTTTAATAGCATTTTGTGAGAATCTTGAAATACCTATGGTTTTCTGAAGATTTCGCAAGACCTCGCGCGGAAGCTTTTTTAGCAAATCAGTGTTGCGAAACCATGTGTTTTTGTATGCTTTTTGGAAACTCGATTGCGAAATCCTTCCGGCACCGAAGGTTTTCGAAGCATTTCGGCATGCGCGCTCGACGACGCGCGCGTGTGCACTTCGTCCCATCTGTTGCAAAAGATTCGCGAAGAAGTGTTACATTAGAACGAAACGTGTCACTGCATAGTGTTTTTACCAGGGAACCTCAGGGGGGGGATACTGGCCCCCCTGCGATAGTGTAAATTCATATTTAGGATGGACATGTGGTCAGAACCATGTATGATTTACATACCCGAAAGGGGGATTGATAACGCCGGAGGTGGGGGTAGAACTTATTCTGTTTTTAGAAAGGAGAATCAATCGCGGAGGCGAGCGGGATCCAGGTTCCGAATTATGGGAAACCAACAGGTCGTCAAAAACCCTTAAGGAATCTGGCGACCTATGGGCGTCCCACAGTTCGCCCACGCCAGCGGCCCCGTGAAACTTATGGGACATTCGCATCCGAATTCGCTCGCGAAGTGGGGGCGGCGGGCGGATCCCAGGATCCGAGCCATGGGAAACATATAGGTCGCCAGAACCCCCCCAGGGAATCTGGCGACCTGTGGGTTTCCCATAAGTCGCGGCGGCGAGCGGTGTCCAGGTTCCGGATTCCCTAACTCCCTACGGGTTTCGCCTGATTCCCTATGGGTTCCCTGATTCCCTATGGGTGTCGCCTGATCCCCGATCGGTCGCCTGATTCCCCATGGGTTTCTGGCGACCTGGCGACTGCGACCGGACCTGGCGAACATGGGTTTCCCGAAAGGTTTTTGGCGACCTGCGCGGCTGCGCGGCTGCGGCTGCGCGGCTGCGGCTGCGCGGCTGCGCGGCTGCGGCGGCAGTCGTCCATCTACGGGTTCCCCATTATTCGGAATCAAGAATCCGCCCGCCGCCTCCACGTCGCGATCGATTTCGGATGCGAATTCTCATAGTTGCGCGGGGTCTGGAATTCCGTGAAAATTCCTCAGGGCCGCTGGCGTGGGCGAATTATGGGGAATCCATAGGATGCCAGATTCCCTGTGGGTTTCTGGCGACATATGTGTTTCACATAGTTCGGAACCTGGATCCCGCTCGCCGCCGCGATTTATGGGAAACCCATAGGCGACCGATGGGTTCCCCATAATTCGGATCCTGGAATCCGCCCGCCGCCCCCACTTCGCGAGCGGATTCGGGTGCGAATGTTCGGTAGTTGCGCGGCGACTAAAATTCTTTGACGTTTCACGGGGCCGCTGGCGTGGGCGAACTATGGGACACACATGGGTCGCCAGGTTCCGGAAAGGGTTTTTGGCGACATATGGGTTTTCCATAATTCGGAACCTGGACCCCGCTCGCCGCCGCGAATTATGGGACACCCATAGGCCGCCAGATACCATTGGGGTTTCTGGCGACCTATGGGTTTCCCATGAGTTTCCCATAATTCCGAGTTATGGGGAATCCATAGGTCGCCAGATTCCCTAGTTGATTCTGGCAAGCTATGTGCTTCACATAGCTCGCAGGCCAAATTGTGGGAAGCCCATGGGTCGCCAGATTCCCTAGGGGATGCTGGAGACCTAAGGGTGTCGCATCATTCTCCCAGACGAACGATGGGGCACCCACAGGTCGCCAGATTCCCTCGGGGGTTCTGGCGACCTATAGGTTTCCCATGATTTGGAACCTCGATCCCGCTCGACGACGCAGCCGCAGCCGCAGCTGCGACCCATGAGTTTCCCAGAATTTCCCCAGCCGACTTATTGGAAACTCATAGGTCGCCAGATTCCCTAGGGGATTCTGGCGACCTATGGGTTTCCCATAATTCTCAAAGCCGAATCATGGGAAAACCATAGGTCGCCGGATTCCATACGGGTTTCTGGCGACCAATGTGTTTCCCATAATTCGGAACCCGGATCCCGCTCGCCGCCGCAGCCGCAGCCACAGCTGCAGCTCCAACCGCAGGGGGCAGTCGTCCATCTACGAGTTTCCCAAAATCCTGAATTATGGGAAATCCATAGGTTGCCAGATCCCCTAGGGGTTTCTTGCGACCGATGGGTCTCCCATAATTCGCAGGGCGGCTCCGGCGACTGCGGCTGCGCGGCTGCGGATGCGCGGCTTCGGCTGCACGGCTGCGGTTGCTCGGCTGCGGCTGCGCGGCTGCGGCGGCAGTCGTCCATTTGCGGGTTTCCCATCATTCCGAATTATGGGAAACCCATACGTTGCCAGAGTCCCTCGAGGTTTCTTGCAACCAATGGGTTTCCCATGATTCGCAGGGCTGCGCGGCTGCGCGGCTGCGCGGCTGCAGCTGCGCGGCTGCGGCTGCGCGGCTGCGGCGGCAGTCGTCCATTCACGGGTTTCCCGTAATTCCGAATTGTGGGAAACCCGATGGGTTTCCCATAATCCGCAGGGCTGCTGCGGCTGCTGCGGCTGCTGCGGCTGCGCGGCTGCGCGGCTGCGGCTTCGCGGCTGCGGCTGCGCGGTTGCGGCGGCAGTCGTACACCTGCTGGTTTCCCATAATTCCTGATTGTGGGAAACCCATAGGTTGCCAGAGTTCCTGGGGGGCTCTGGCAACTTATGGGCTTCCCATAATTTGCAGGGCGGCTGCTCGGCTGTGGCTGCGCGGCTGCGGCTGCGCGGCTGCGGCGGCAGTCGTCCATCTACTGGGTTCCTGGTTTCCCATCATTCCGAATTATGGGGAACCCATCGGTTGACAGGGGATTTGGCGACTTATGGTTTTCCCATAGGTCGGCTGGGAGGATCATGGGAAGACCCATAGTTTACCAGATGTCCTATGGGATCCTGGCGACCTCAGGGCTTCCCATTATTCTCCCAGCCGAATTATGGGAAACCCATAGGTCGCCAGATTCCCCAGGGGGTTCTGGTGACCTATAGGTTTCCCATAAGTCGGAACCTGGATCCCGTCGCCGCCGCAGCCGCAGCTGCAGCCGCAGCTGCAGCCGCGTATGGGTTTCCGATAATTCGTTTCTGGAAATTACCAAGTTGTGGGAAACCCATAGATGGACGGCAGCCCGCCCCCCCCCTATAACGCAACGCCCCCTCCCAGTGCGCTCTGGGCAATGCCGCCGTGCGCATCGGGATCCGCATCGGCGTCCGCATAGGAATCCGCAGATGAGCTTGGTCCGCAGTGTGAATCTCATGGGGATCCGCACGACAGGGGGGAAGGGTGAGGGAGGAGGAGGAGGAGGAGGAGGAGGAGGAGGAGGACGAGGTGGAGGTGGCGGAGGAGGGAGGAGAGAAGAACGTCGCATTCTATTATCAGCATTGCCCTGGCGTGGCGTCTAGCTGTCCGCAGCAGATCATCACCTACATGCTCGTTCTACCTGTCCTGTGCACGCAGGCACACCAGCGCTGTGTGCACGCGGATGCTGTGGTGTAGACAGGCGCTGTGGTGTGCACAGGTGCTGCGGTGCACGCAATCATTTTGGTGTACACAGGCGCTGTGTCGCACATGGTTGCTGCAGTGTTATACATCCGCTGTGGTGTACACTGGCGCTGTGGTGCACGCGAGCATTGTGGTGTACACAGGCGCTGCGTCGCACACGGCTGTTGAGACGTACGCAGGCGCTGTGGTGTACACGCGCGCTGTGGTGCACGCGAGCGTTGTGGTGTACACAGGCGCTGTGGGGCAGGTCGCCACCTACATGCTGCTCGCGTCGTCGTCGTCGTCGTCGTCGTCGTCGTCGTCGCTCGTCGCTCGTGGCTCATCGTCGTCGTGCGCGCGGGCGCGGCTGCGGTGCCGGAGCCACGCAGCGGGGGGGGTACATTGTACCCTCCCCCCGGCCCCCCCCTATAATGCCCATTATCACCGAAAATAAAGAAACGCGCTCCGACATTGGCGCGTAAGCTGCCCGCGTAAGCTCGCGCGACACCCATCAGAATTCGTAAGAAAAAGCGCACGTGCTCGTGGACTCCAGATTGCTGCGTTCCAGAAGGTCAGGAATCTGGACTGGGCCCTGGGCGTTTTATTTGAGCCTCTTTTCGTAAAGTTGTCGTGGGTCTGGACTTGGACTACTCTTTACGAACATGCTTGGTGTAAAGGCCACTTGCTTATCGCAAGATGTGCTTATTTCTGAGCAGGGGTGTGATCGACCTCGCTTCCAGCGTAGCGTGCCGCGCTGGCGGCCCACGTGAGCCGCCGCGTAAGGTCGCTGCGTAATCTTGCGCAAGACCCCTTGTTTGATCTTCGCCCAATCGTGATCGTGCGTGCTGCTTGTGCAGCCCAGCTGCTGTGGGCAACGGGCTGGGATATTCTCACGCCTCCAGTCTCACTGAGTTGCCCACCGCAGCTCGGTGCAATTTTTTCACCAGGCTGATGCAGCCGATGCTGTGGCTGCCCGATTTTCCCACCAAGGCGATGCGGCCGATCCTGCTGCTGCCACTGTCTGGCAGATGCGGGGCATCGGAAGCAGCAGTCACAGTCAAGACGCTGTCATTGAGGACCACTCTGGTCTGGGAGGGGCGCTGCTTCTTTGCGAGCCGTCCCCTCCGCCCGGATCGGGGAGCCTCTCCGTGGCCCACGCTCGCAGTGGCCAGAAGAGCCCGCTGGGCCCTCGTTCCGCGTCGCCCATTTTCTATGCATTGCCCGTGGCATTTCGGCGCAGTTCTTCACGCTTCGCGCATCCTCGCCAGCCCATTCGGAAAAAGCCCTGCCCATGAGAGTTGACGGGAAGAGGGACGAAGAGAACATATACACACACCCCTTAACGTAGACTACCCACCTAACGTAGCCCAGACCTCGGTGACACCGAGCCCGGCCCGCGCGGAATGTGTGTGACACCTGCATTCTGGCGACACGCTTGTCTCGGAATGATGCTCCGGCTTGTGCGTGGGCCACATCTCGGATCGAAAGTGTTGCTCTCGCCTAGGCGCCGGCGACATCCCTCACTGAGCATGCTGTTCTCATTTGTGCGTGGGCCACCTGTCTTATTGAAAATGTTGCTGTCGCCTAGGGTGAACAGAGAGACCTCTGGGAGCAAGGGGATGGCACATACAGTGAAACATACAAGGTGAACAGAGAAACCTCTGGGAGCAAGGGGAGAAAGGGACCAAGAGGCACATACAGTGAAACAAAGCGGGCAGCCCAGGTGAACAGAGAGACCTCTGGGAGCAAGGGGATGGCCCTGAAGGTGATGACCTCTTCGGGTCAGCACCGGGAACAGCGTAGAGGCGAGGGAAGGAAGGAGGAGGAGGAGGAGGAGGAGGAAGAGGAGGAGGAGGAGGAGGAGGAGGAGGGAGTAGGAGGAGGAGAGAGGAGGAGGAGGAGGAGGAGCAGGAGCAGGAGGAGGAGGAGGAGGAGGAGGAGGAGGAGGAGGAGGAGAGGAAGAAGAAGAAGAAGAAGAAGAAGAAGAAGAAGAAGAAGAGGAGGAGGGGGGGGGGAGGAGGACGAAGAGGAGGACGAAGAGGAGGAGGAGGAGGAGGAGGAGGAGGAGGAGAAGAAAAAGAGAGACGAAAACGACGACGATCACGACGACGAGGAAGAGGAACAACAGGATAAGGGAAACAATGAGGGCAAGGACGAGGACGAGGACAAGGAGGACGACGAGGACAACGAGGACGGTGACAGAGCCCTCAATCTCGGCTCCTGGAGCCCTCTTGGGACTTTTTGGGGGGATCTTGTGATCTTAGGCGCTCCTAGTACCGTTTTGGGTGTCTCTTGGGCACCAGGGCCTCTCTTGTGCCATCTTAGGGTCATCTTGAGGCCCCATAAGCGCATCGGAAGCAAAAAGGCGAGAATGCACAACACATTGATTTTCCTTAGGTTTTTGAAGGATTTGGGCCTCTTGGAGGTCCTCAGGCGGATCCGAGAGCACTTGGAACCGTTTTGTGGCCCTCGTCCGGCCCCTTGGAGGTATGCGGGACGCTATCTTGAACCACCTTTGGCTATCTTGAGCCCCCTTAACGGCCATCCTGGAGCACAGGAGGCCTTCTTGGAGCCACCTTGTGCGGATGAGGACCCTCTGCCACCTCGCAAAACCCCAAACTAAAGCCACAGGGAGGGGATGGGGGAGGGGACCCCTCCCCCAAGGGAAGAGGATTCTCAGAGGAGGGAAGACGTAAGTCGGGCGTGTCCCTCTACAGGGGGAATATTCGCAAATAGTCACAGTCAGGTGACCATTTGTTTACTATTTTGGATTAGTTCTGAGTACATTTGGGGTATTAATTTCTCCCGAAAGCCGCCTGTAGGAGGACCTGCCCGACCTGAGGGAAGACAGAACACTCCAGATCACCTTGGCCCAAAGGGCTGGTGGGATTTCCCCACCGGGTGGCTGTCCGCCCTTCCTGCGAATGTGTTGTCTTGAGCGTGAGCGTATGCTCCATTGTGATCATGCGTGCTGCTTGTGCAGCGCAGCTGCTATAAGCCCTGTTGGTTCGATTCGGCGCTCTGTTGGTTCGCATTTGGCGTTCTCAATTTTGTGATATCATCCCCCTTCTCCTCATTCTCCTCCTATTCCTCTCCCTTATCTTCTAACTTCGTGAACTGGCCCCCTCCTTCATCAATATCCTCTGGACTCGCCCAACTGGTCGTCGCCCAATTGTGATCGTGTGTGCTGCTTGTGCAGCGCAGCTGCTATGGGCAACGGGCTGGAATATTCTCACGCCTCCAGTTTTGCTGCATTACCCACTGCATTTCGGTACAGTTTTCACCAGGCTGATGCAGCCGATGCTGTTGCTGCCAGATTTTCTCACCAAGTCGATGCGGCCGATCCTTTTGCTGCCATTGTTTGGCAAGCGCGGGGCTGGGATTTCCACACCAGGTGGCTGCGGCCGATCCTTTTTGCTTCCATTGTTTGGCAAGCGCGGGGCGTCGGAAGCAGGGCTGGACCTAAACGCTGTTTTGCTGGACTTCGGCTGTGTTTTGTTTTTCGTTTTTTTTTTTGGGGGGGGGTACAGGAAAACAAGTAGAGCAAAACGAACAACAAAGCGAAAACAAAACGAAAAACAACGTTTAGGTCGGAAGCAGCGCCCGTCGTCGGCTCCGAGGGCCCGCCGGAGCGCAGCCCGAGGCGGCCCGAGCTGCCTCCGGCCGCGATGGGGGGGGCAGGGGCGAGCGGCGGCAAGCGGGGGCCAGAGCCACCTCGCACGCCGACGTGGTGCCCGCGTCTGGCCGGCGGGCTGTCGGAGGGATGCAATGTCCAGTCGAAGCCGATGGTTAGTCGACGGCTCTCGCGTCGAGCTGGATATCATTTATCATCACCATCATCATCATCATCATCAGCATCATCATCATCAGCAACAGCATCATCATCATCACCACCATCATCATCATCATCACCATCATCATCATCACCATCATCATCATCATCAGCAGCATCACCATCATCACCATCATCATCATCCTCATCATCATCATCATCACCATAATCATTAGCATCATCATCATCAGCAGCATCATCATCACCATCATCATCATCACCATCATCATCATCAGCAGCATCACCATCATCATCAGCATCATTATCATCATCATCACCTTCATCATCATCACCATCAGCAGCAGCATCACCATCATCACCATCATCATCATCACCACCACCATCATCATCATCACCACCATCATCATCATCATCACCACCACCATCGTCATCATCCGTAGCCATTTTGGCTCATGTAGCCGCGCGCGCGGGCGCGCACTTGAGTGGCAGCGGTCTGCCGATCGGGCCGATCGGACTTCATGGCACGCGATGGCCTCGCGGCCCGCGAGGTACTACCCGACGGCATCGAGAGGGCAGCGCGTGGGGCGGCGGCTGGAGCGGCTGGCGCGGGGGGGGGGGGGGCAGCGCGGCAGGTTACGGCCGCGGCAGTGGCGGCAGCCGTGCGCACGAGCCCCCCACGGCATGCGAGGAGGAGCTCACCCTCTGTCTGGCGGCCATGACCCCCACCATGCTGCAGGCAGTGAGGGGTGAGCCCGCGGACGGCACGGCACGTGCGTTGCGGAACCTGGGTGCGCACGCATTGCTGGGCGGTGGAGCCGCAGCGCTGGCGGAGGCGCTGCACCACCCCAGGCGAGCGCAGCGGGGTGGAGTCGCGGCGCGGACCTGCAGAGGGGCAGCTGCTGCGGGAGGGCTCTGGAGGCCCAGTCCCCGCTTGTGGGCGGCGGTGCCCCCCCCCCCCCCCCCAGGAGCGAGCGACACGAATGACAGCCTCGGCGATGCCCGCAATGGCGCCGACGACAGCGGCGGTTCGGGCGCAGATCGGACGCCAGCGAGGAGCTGGGTACCGCGCCTCCTGCCAGCGACCGTCGGAGTCGGGCAGGCGATCTTTGTCACAAGGCACTTCGAGTCGAGCGACGTGCTGGACGAGGACGAGGCCGAGGATGAGGAACACGGCGGGGCGCAGGACGAGGATACCAGAGCGCTCGGGGCGGGAATGGGAACCGCATCTGCGGAGGGGTCAGCGTGATCTCAGTCCCGCCCCAAGGGATCGACGCGAGGCACGTCGACAACGACACCCTCGGTGACGCCCGCACGAGCGAAGACGTTCTCGGCGCGGGCGAGGTGCAGACGTCCCTCGGCACCCAGCACCACGAACCGAGCGATGTGCAGGACGAGGGCGAGGACGAGGAGTGCTCGGACGCGAGCCTTGTCGCTGGCGGTGGCACGGCGGCGAGCCCCGCCAAACCAGCGTCGGTCAGGCGGCGGCGAAGGCGCGGCCGTCGTCCCAGGCTGGAAGGACTGGCGGCGTCGGCCGCCGTCCCTGCGATCTCACGATCGCACGGGCATTCGTGGCGACCGAGGTCGCCAAGTCCGCCACACGCACAGCATGGAGGACGGCAGCGAGGCGGGGGAGGGCCGAGGCCCGCGGCGCTGCCTTTGTCCTCGCGAATCGTGCGCGGTCGGCGCTTGAGGCGGTTCCCCCGCCCCTTGGCTCTGGCGCGCAGTGGTGGCAGCGGGGGCTCGAGGAGCTCGGGCGGGATGGCGGCCCGAAGGCTCCCAGCGCTGGCCCGCCGACCGCGGCGGTGAAGGAGGCAGAGAGCGAGAGGGACTCGGGGGATGCGAACGAGTACGAGCTACACGACGGGCCCCAGCAGCACGTCCTTGCACAGCATGTCGTCGTGACTATGAACGGCAGTGGCTCCCCCGCCGCTCCCGAGCGGGATGAGCCGATGAAGACCAAATTCGACGATTACGGCGATGATCAGCAGAGCGGCGTCGTGCGAGACGGCCTGCAGGACTCCGACGTTGGGCACGACGCAGTCCAGGAGCTGGCGCGGCGCACCGTCTCCGTCGATGCTGCGGTTCGCCATGGCGCTCACGACGCCGAGCCGCACGGCGACCACCAGTAGCACGGCGCAACCAGGGGCGCCGTCCAACGAGCACTCGCAACACGGCGAGGTTGTCCAGGACGGGCAGGAGCAGGAGGGGTTCTAGTGCGGCCCGCACTCCTTTGCCCCACCAGCTGCGGCGCGGGACGGGTGCCATCAGCCCGATCTGGTTCGGGCCCTGCAGCACGACCAGGACTTGGCAAAGGGCGAAGCGCGCAACGCCGAGCGAGGGCCCTTCTTCGATCGTCTCAGGAGGGCGTGAGCCCCGACTGTCGCCTCGGAGGGCGTCGAGGGCGACGAGGCTCGTCAGCGCCAGCAGGTCGGGCTCGGCGTGCTGCACTCCCTCGAGCGGCGCGCAGCCTTGGCGTTGGGCCCAGCGGCAGCCGCAGAGGCCTCGGGGGAGGCACGCCGCATGGCCTTCGACTCGGAGGTGGCGGCGCTGCGGGCGCAGGCGGCGGCGGGTTTGGCGACGCCTCGCGCAGCACCGGCAGCACGGGTGCGTGCGGCGGTCCAGCCCCGCAGGCGGCATAGCTGAGTCCTGCCACCGCCTTCATTTCTATGGTTTGCGATGATTGACAACTTGCATTGGTGTGCCCGTGTGCGGCTGTTGCGTGCAGTTTCAAGTCATGGCCTGTGTAACCCCGCATTTCTGTGGAGGAGAACCGTGGGAGAAGGTGGTCCTGTTACCCACGCCAAGGATCGTCTCCGCACGGCAGTAGAGCAACGATGCTGATCGGTGGGCCAGGGCCTCGTGTGCTATGTTGCTCTGCTGCGCTCCATATCGCCAGCGCTCGGCGCTTGGCTCTTGCATGCGCTCCGCAGCTGCGGAAGAGCCGGGTGTTCCGCCTGCTTGCATGCTCCGTTCAGTGTAGCTTCTGGTCGGCGGCAGCTCAGTGGCTTTCGAGGGTGGAGGGAACCCGTGGCGTAGGCTGTACCCTGCCGGGCTCGGCACACGCTTGTGTTCACTCCCTCCTGGCCCTCCGGGGGTCGCTGTCGCCTGCGCTGGCGCTTCGCTTTCGGGACCTCTCGTCCAGCGAGAGTGGCGCCCTCCTAGTGGCTTCCGTGAGTGGAGGGGCCCCGTGGCGTAGGCCGTACCCACCTCGGGCTCGGCACTCGACAGGGTTCACTCCCTCCTGCCCCTCTTGGGCTCGCTGTCGATTGACGGTGCGCGCTCTGCGCGCCGCGTACCAGCTCGGGCGGCTTTCGACGCACGGGCGCGTTCGTGTGTAGTCAGGTCAGAGTTGAGTTTCAAGGAGCCGCTGGCGCGCTAGTGCGCGACGGCATCCGCCAGTCCGTCAGAGTTCTGATGCGGAGGGCGAACCGTGAGCGTAAGGCGACCCACGCTCAGGATCGATCTCCGCAGGCCTGAGGAGCAACAGCGTCGCGTGTTGTGGGGCCTTGTGCCAAAGACACCGTTGCTTCTCAGGCACGGCGTGCAGCGTAGCTGCGTACCAGTTCGCTAGACCGTGCAGTCGAGGCCTGTGCTTGCTGCCGAGCGTGCTGGGTCGCTCTGGCTGGTGGGGTCGGTCGATCGCTTGCTTCGGCGGAGGCGGTTGATTGCTCTTGGCACTCAGGCGAATCTGCGAGTGTGTGCTGATGCGCACGAGGCCGAGCGTTGCCTCCGCAGGGCCATCGGGAAACGCCTCGGTCCGAGGGGCAGTACGAGCTGGGAGCTCCTGAGTCCTTTAGGCGCGTGGATTATGATCAGCATCATCCTCATCACCAGCACCATTATCATCATCGCCATCATCATCATCATCAGCAGCATCATCATCAGCATCATCATCAGCATCTGCATATGCATCAGCATCGTCAGTAACATCGGCACCCTGTGGGGAGGCGGGACGGCGAGGCTTCTGTGCAGGCCCGGGCCGACCGCGGCTTCGAGGGCCGCGCGGTGCGGAGCGCGCCGAGGAGTTGTGGAGCAAAAACAGTCGAAACCGATGGTAAGAAAGGGCCACCAAGGGAACAAACAATTACATAAACAAAAAACTCGAAGGTCCGCGCGGATTTCTTGGATCCGCGTTGGGCCCCCCTCCCTGGCGCGCGGAGCGCGCCAGGGGCGGCGTTGGAGGCGCCGCCAGGGGGCCCCAGCGCCGATCCGAGAAATCCCGCGGACCTTCGGGGTTGTTGCTCATGTCGCTGTTCGTTCCCCTAGTGGCCTTCCCAACGGTGCCCCTTGCATCTGTGGGCGCTTCGGTCCAGCCTCAACCTTTTTTTCGATGGCCCGAAAAGCGCTCGGGAAAAAATGAAAAAAATAGGCGTCCGAGGGTTTGTTTTGCATTTTTGTCCTTGCGAGCGCCTGGGCGTGTGAATGTGCTCGGCGAGGGCCATCCAGGAGCATGTTGGATCGTCTTTGGGGGGAAAACACGGACAAAACAGGACAAAGTGCACGGAGAATGGACGTCCTAGCGCTTGCGAGTATCGCGCATCACCACGTCGCGCATCCTGATATCAGTGTTCGTTGTACACCACGTCGCCTGCTCGGGCAAGTCAGGGGTAACTTTAGAGGCGGCATCGGCACCCGATCGCCCACTCATCGCCGATATAGGGGCCCGGTAGCTCTCCCCGCCCAGGGGCGTGCGGACTCGCCATCGGGGGCCTATCGCCGATTTATCGCCAATGTACGGTGAGGGCGTTGGAGAAGGAATGTGCCAGGAGGCTCCAAACCCTGGAGGATTTCTTATCTGCTGAGGGCGGCGGTGATATCCGTGGCCACGCCTCAGTTGGTGCTCAACCAGCCTCCAGACCCTGGATGCCTTATCCAAGGGTTCCTTATTCCATGCCCCCACCGCATCGCCGATGCATCGCCGATTGCAGCTCGACGTCTACCCCCCTGAGCTGGTTCCCCCCTAACGCTCCCCCTCACCAACGATGAGGAGGAGGAGGAGGAGGAGGAGGGGAGGAGGAGGAGGAGGAGGAGGGGAGGGGGAGGAGGGGGAGGAGGAGGAGG